TCACCCACATCTCTGAGATGGAGGAAGATCGCAGTAAGTGGCCAGGATCTTCGATTCTTCTTTCCTTTGCCAGCTACCTGCCAACGACACAAGTTCACAAGGGACATGTACGGGGATGGTCCCTTCAAGAATCAGGTTTTTGTTTTTGTTTTTGTTTTACCATAGGGTTTGGGGTTTGGGTCTCTAAATCCTCTGAGGGGTCCCTGACTTGGGAAGCTGGACTGGGCTGGATCACATGGAAATTGCAGCCAGGACTTTTGCCCAGGCTATGCAGACCAACCTAAGTGGCCTGGATTAAAGGCAGGCCGATTGGCACCCCAGCCCCTGGTCCCATATTCTAACCCTGGTGGTATTCAAGACCCTATCATCTCAAGGCAAGAAGAGGCAGTGAGACATGAATCCAAGGAAATGCCAAAAGTGTTTCTTTGCAAGTGCGCACTGAGCCAGCCTAAGCCACCCACCTACATCCAGGACTTCTTGGGACATAGAATGGGATCAGGTTGGAGCCACAGACCCACTAACTGTGGGAGAGTTTCAAGATGGAGCGGAGGCCAAAGTGAGATCCCCAAAGGGGCAGATTTCATGGAGGCACATCCAGGCCCACATACCCACAAGCTCATCCCTCTCCTCCTGACCCTAGGACTCTAGCTCAGGAGGATCCTTGTGGCAGCTACCAGTCTTATCAGGGTACCCCCTCCAAACTAGATGTGCCACTAATACAAGGGATCGGGAGTCAGGAGAGACTGGACTTAATACAACTCATCCACAGCTCACTTTGTGAGCTTGGATATCTCTGTATCCTCAACTGTAAAGTGAAGATACTGGGGCCTGCCCCACACAGCTCAGAATTAAGGTAACCTACGCAGGTGTCTGTACGTTGTAAGCCGGCATACAGATGCAAAAGATCATTTTTATTATTCCACAGAGTGGGTTCTTATTAAATGACAAAATTCTCCAGAAAGCATGTGTAGGTTGGGTTGACCTTCCATATTTGTGAACATGCTCACGCTGGTCCCTGGTAGAGGCCGAAGCCTTGTCCACATGGCTCTGCGGGCTTTGACGCACGCTGACCTCTGCAACATGTACTTATCTTCCCACATGCCCAAGGAAGACCTTCTTCCTCTCGGACATACAGACATAACAACATCCTCTCCCAAAGCTGATTTCCATTGAGACACCATAGCTTCTTTCCCATGGGAGTGTTACTCACTCAGTTAGAAAATACATCAGATATTTCCATGCACTGAAACCCAGCTTGGAAGACTCTCAAAAGAATGTGGGCCTCCTGGTTTGTCTTGGCCTTTCCCAGTGCTACTGAATCAGCCTGCTTCTCCCTTGTTGGCTCCCACTGAGGCTGTTGCACAGTGTGCTCATAGGAAAAGCAGAAGATTGCCACCATCTTGGGAGTAGCAATTCGGGGCAGTAGTCAATATAGGGGCTCCAGTGCCCTGAGGCGTGGGTTCAAATTCTGGCTCTGACACTATCTGTTAATGTTGGGCTCTTTATCTATAAAATGTAGATAATACAGTAGTTCCTGCCTCATCAGTTTATTAGTATTAAATGACATAATGTGTGTTAAAATGCACTTGAGTCTTATTACCGAGTTTGTGCCTTTAGCTACTGACTGAACTTCTTCATGCTTTTGGCTTTTCCTTTCTCATATTAACTGTTCCAAATAAATAATAATAAAACTAACGATAAACAAATAAATGCCTTCTGCTAATTAGGAAGGTTATTATGTTACATATGATTTTACCCAGTCTTCAGGACTTGCTCCAGTGCCTCCTCTCTGGGGAATGTTCCACAACTCCTTGAGGTTGGTTTACCTGCTCCACGGGAGTGTTTATTTGCATAAGTACTCCTGGCACTGTACAGTAATGGTTCATGTGTGTTTCTCCTTTTGATTATTAAAAACTTAAGGTTAAAAAAAAGCAGATCACACAGTGCCTTGCTGAATAGATAATGTTCAGTAAATGGCAACTGTAGTATTATTCCTTGGAATTATTATTCACATTCATTCTGCTACAGAAGCATTTTGCTATCTCCTGAAATTACCACTTTGGGAGTGTCCCTACAGGTGAAGGAGAGCCTGGGAGTAGAGAAAGTTGTCAAAGATGGACTTGCTCTTCTTTTGGCAAGAGGTAGGATGAGATCCATCTTTTCTCATTGATCAGGTTCTGGATTCAACTGGAAGATTCAATTTAAGTACCACAGTTTCTGAGTATTTCATTCCCTTGGGGGTAAAAAAAAAAAAATCCCAGATGACCATGTGACCAATGGGTCACAGGACATCTGTGCTTTCAGGACATAAGTATGTAAAAGGTAGTATCTTCCCTGTGATGGTTGAAACGTGGGGACACTGACTTTTTGGTGTTGATAGTACCTTCCCAAAGGAGGCACGGTGTAAGTACCTGCTGAACGAATGGATGGATGAATCCTCAGGTGACAGCTCTGCACCTGTGTCTGAAGCAGCTGGAGGAACTGATGCTGGACACAGCCCTGACCTTCAGTCAGAATTAAAGAGAAAAATGTAAAAGGCTGTTCCCAGACTCTGTACTTCAAAGGCGTTGCCTCTAAGCCTCACGGGACAAGGCAGTGCTATGGACAGGAGTCGGGGACTTTGGGACTCTGTCTCCATACCATCTAATGACAACCACATGCCAGGTACTTCATCTGTATCAGAGCTAACCCTTACAAGGAGCCCATGGGTAGAATGAGTGAGCTCATTGTACAGATGGAGGAAGAGCAGTCCAGACTAAAGACTGCTCACAACCCCACAAACTAGAGTCCTTGTCTATCTGCTCCGCCTCTTAGAGAGGAGCCCAAGTTGGCGAAGAGGTAAGGACTTGTTCTCTTCCTCTTTCACATTTCCAGACCTACTGCAGGAGTGCTAGGCTCTGGAGGCAGGCTTGGGGGCTTCCTCCTGATGGTCCCCTGAGAACTGTAGGAGGGCAGAAGAGAGAGGCAGGGTTTGCCAAATCTGGAGAGTGTGCACTAGGCCAAAGCATAGCATAGAACTATTTACTGATATGGTCGCAAGACCCGCTGATCTCTCTCAGTTCTTAAGTCAGTCTCTCTCTCTCTCTCTCTCTCTCTCTCTCACACACACACATACACACACACACTGCTAGTGTATTCAAACAAATAAACAACACGTATGTTAATGGAGGCGGATATGTTCATGAGACTCATCAACACCTTCCTGGGTCCAGGACAAACTCAATTCCACAGCTGAACAGGCACAAGTGTTTGTGTTTAGACTTATCATACACTCAAGAGAATTCTAAAAGACTGACTCAATCTTTATTGAAAATCCACTTGGCCCCTGCTGGGGTTACCCAAGCCCCTTTGGAAAGGGGTGGTCCCAGTGTTAGCAGCTACTGGCTCCCCGTTCAGAGAGCAAGTCCTTTCACAGGGCTCAGCTGTTCCTCAGGCATCCAGGAAAGCTGCTCGCACAAAGGCAGAAAACATGACAACTGTTGGAAACCCTCACACAGTCTATGGGAGCAACTGAAGGTTCTCTGGAGCAGCCCCATTACTCAGTTTCTATAAAACACCCACCGGCTACATGGCCCCAATAACTGAATATCTCCATTCTCAAGTCCATGACGCACAGGCCACACTGCCTTGCCACTAGCTTTAGAAACCATAAACAACTCCATTAACCATCCAAATGCACATGCACAGAGGGAAAGGGAAAAGAGAAAAAAACAAACAAAAAAACCCCAGCTTTCCTGAGTTCTGAAGGACCAAGTTCAAAGATTGCCCAACGGGCAAAAAAAAAACAACAAAAAAACCCGTAGCATTTCAACACTGCCAACTAATGTCCCTCTCACTTCAGTGGTCAAGTCTCCAAGACATTTACAATTTGAAGACGTTGGTAGAGAGGATCTCAGTGCCCTGGGAACCATATCAAATGATTCGTTTAAAAAGAAGGGCCTGTATGCATTTTCCCCATGAAGAATCTGTCCAAAGGATTTTGAAAACACTTTAATATACTTTGCTTCCAAAACATTACACACTATTTCTCCGACAAATTTATATGTGTTTCCAGAGAACTCCTGGACAAAAAAAGGTACTTAGGTAGAAGAACGTCTGGAGCTTCTTTTATGCCAATATGTGAACAGACCTTCTCTTTTAATTGTTATTATTTCATATAGCAGCAGTAACCATTCCCTCATCTGCAAAGGAAATATATAATCCAGCTGTGATGGCTCCAGTAAAAATACCACATCTGTGGATCATTGACAACACTGTGGCAAGATTGCTCAAATCTACACAGTCCCAGAAAGTTCTCTTTTTTACTCAAGATGCACAAGGGTACACTTTTCTCAAAGTGCTTGTAAACTTTGCCAAAACTGGTTGCTCCTTTGTATCCTGATAATAGGTTTCAGATTGTCCACCCCCAGAAGAAGGATGCTCTCTTGGAATATTATGCCCAGGACCCAGTCGTTAGAAGAAGTCCCCAGACCCCACCAGAAGGGAGGCTTGTGCCAATGTCCTTGTCAATATCAAAGAGCACAGGGAAAATGAACACCCCGGGTTTCAGGACTGCGGGGTTCGCCGTGGAGCTGACTGCTGGTTTCCCACTTAGGAGACCGAACAGCTTCCGCAGGAAGGGTGGCAGCCACTGTTCTGGTCGCCGTTCTCTCGCTTCTCCAGTGGATGCAGTCAGAACAGGACCGATCACTGGGTGATAATATTCCAAGAATCGCCCCACCCCCACCCCCATGCGTCTGGTCTTTTCCCAAAGCCCAGTAGCAAGCATCTTATTTCTAAGCCAATCTTCCACATTCAAATCCCCAGCCCAAAGCGCGCCCTGGGGGTTTCTATCCACAGACGTATAAAAGAAAAAGCGCGTAGCTGAGCCTTGACCGACTTTTATCCCCCAAACACAAGCCCTGCGGCTACTGTGCTGGAATGTCGATGGCCCCGAAACACTCGGGGTCCCCTTCCATCCCAGACAATAGAGCAAGAAAATAAAATGAAAGTGGACTTACTGCTATGGCTTGCAGCCTTTCCTTGTGCAACTCCGCCTCTGCCATCCTGGAGAAGGGCACACAGGGAGGGGAGAAAAAGAAAGAAAAACAAGACACACGCTGTAGTCACCCAAGGAAATGGATGGGCACCCCGGGGGGCTGCGCTAGAAGCCCGGGGGAGAGCCGAGGGGCGGCCGGGGATCCGCTGGGGGAGGAGGGGCGGGTGGCGGGCAGAGCTGTGCTCACGGCTGGCTCACCGCGGCTCAGCCTCCGGCCCCCGCCCGCCCGGCCGCCTGGATGCGCCCCAGCGCCGCCGCTAACTGCAGCTCCGGGCCGCGGCCGGCCGCGCCAGTCGGGGACGCGGGCCACCGGCAGCCGCCGGGAGGGCACGCCCGCCCCGCGCGGGTCCTCCGCCCTGACGTCTCGCCGCCTCGCTCCGCCCCTGGGGTGTGGGGGGACCTGCGGCCACCGCCCCCCGTGGCTCTAGGCGGGCAGGAGACGCCGGGCTGTCGCCGCGGGGGAGGTGGGGACCCCAAGGCGCCGATGGGGAGCGCGCGTGTGGGTGGGCACCTGGGGCGCGGGCGCACGGCGAGCGGCTAGAGCGCACGGCTGGCTCCGGGGTGGACGCGCGCTCTCTGGAGTCTGAGCAGGGCAAGGTGGCGCCAGTGCCAGCCAGCAGAGGGGCCTCTGGCAGAAAGCGGGCCCCAAGCACGTGCTCTGACGTGCGGGCTGTGGCCACCGAGTGTTCAGGCCGCCTTCCAGCGCGGGCCAGATGCTTGGGCTCCACGTGGGGACATTTCCAGTAGGGAAGGGCTGCCTCGCCCACATGCCTTAGATGGCAGTGTCCTCAAAGGTCAAGTGGGCCGAGGGCAGGGTATAGCTCAACACAGGCCACCTCTCTGTGAGGCCAAATGTGGCTTAGAAAGACAGCGGAGAGTCTGTAGTCTCTGGCGCTCAGCTAGGTGGGGCTTGACAAATCAGCTGTGAAAACGCCAGCAACTTGCCTACCCACTCTGAACCTCAGTTTCCTCATCTGAAAAATGGGAGTGTTGTCAGTAATTAATGAGATAAAATATATAAAGGTGCTTTGTAAAGGGCAAACTGTTATTATCCTGTGACATTCTGGGTTGAAACTCTTTGAGAGGCTTTATTTCTCTACACAGTCTCTGAAAGGAAAAGTAGAATTGGGTCACTAAATGCTTCAGCTATTCCTTTAAATGGTACTAAAGTGCGTCTTTTGTGACCGGCCCTGGGCTGAATATGAGAGATGGATAAGACCAAGTCCAAAAAGGAAATAAATGCTAAATACAAACAAAATACCTCTTAACATTCAGGAGGGACCTGCTAGAATTCCAAACATTCACAAGTAAACTTTCCTCCATAAAATGAAGTAATAAACACTGAATAAAAACAAAAACCCAACCTGACTTCTTTAGACCCTTGATGATTCTATAAACACAGGACTTGAAAGGCATTTTAAAAGGTATGCACATCGAATTTCCCCAAATCACCTCTTTTCCTGGGCAAATTCTTGCAATTCAACTAAATTGCTTTTTCAACTTTCCACAGAGGTTTTACCTGTCACTTGATGATCAATTACTACTCTGCCCGAACACTGAAGTCGTCACCAAAACAGTTCTGCTGACTGTTTTCTCTTCTTTTCCATAAGGGGTGTAGGTGGATGTATTTGTGTCATAAATCCAAGCCAATGCCGGATTCCGCATCCCACTCCAGTATAGCCAGAACTCCTACTTTCTGGCTAAGATCTATCACTTTCTTCAAACACTTCATTTTCTCCTCACTTCCAGCACCAGCTCCCACAAGTCAAGTTCTTTGCAGGGTGTTTGCTCACAAATAAACCAAGCTGTTATTGCTTCAGCAGAGTGACTGTGTACCCAACAACAGGAGAGAATAACAAGATGAGAAAAGTGAGACCCGTGAGGTTGAGAGCCTCAGCCAGAGTCATAAAGCTGAGATTTAAACTCAGGTCAGACTCTCCAGAGCCCATGCTCTTCACCACTCAGCACCAGGCTCAGCCAGTGATACAAAGGTAGGGCAGGCCCCTGTAATAAGCAAGCAATAAACAGTTAATGGTCCTCCCTTGCCCCTTCCTTAAAAAGGAATAGAGGAGCACAACAATGTAAATGGACTTAATGTCACCAAACTATACACTTAAAAGTTGTTTAAATGGTAAATTTTATGCTGTGTATATTTTACCACAAAAAAATTTTTTTGAAAGGAGTCATGGAATGGGAAAAGATATTTGCAAATGTCTTATCAGATAAAAGGCTAGTATCCAAAATCTACTAAGAACTTGTCAAACTCAACACCCAAAGAACAAATAATCCAATCAAGAAATGGGCAGAAGACATGAACAGACATTTCTGCAAAGATGACATCCAAATGGCCAACAGACACATGAGAAAGTGCTCAACATCACTCGGCATCAGGCAAATCCAAATCAAAACCTCAATGAGATACCACCTCACACCAGTCAGAATGGCTAAAACTAACAAGTCAGGAAACGACAGATGTTGGTGAGGATGCAGAGAAAGGGGAACCCTCCTACACTGTTGGTGGGAATGTAAACTAGTATAGCCACTCTGGAAAACAGGATGGAGTTTCCTCAAAAAGTTGAAAATAGAGCTACCCTACGACCCAGCAATTGCACTACTGGGTATTTACCCCAGAGATACGAATGTAGTGATCTGAAGGGGCACATGAACCCCAATGTTTATAGCAGCAATGTCCACAATAGCCAAACTATGGAAAGAGCCAAGATGTCCATCAACAGATGAATGGGTAAAGATGTGGTATATATATACAATGGAATATTATGCAAACATCAAAAAATGAAATCTTGCCATTTGCAATGACATGGATGGAACTAGAGGGTATTATGCTGAGCAAAATAAATCAATCAGAGAAAGACAATTATCATATGATCTTACTGATATGAGGAATTTGAGAAATAAGACAGAGGATCATAGGGGAAGGGAGGGAAAAATGTAACAAGATGAAACCAGAGAGGGTGACAAACCATAAGAGACTCTTATTCTCAGGAAACAAATTGAGGGTTACTGGAGTGGAGGGGGGAGGGAGAGATGGGGTGGCTGGGTAATGGACATTGGAAAGCGGATGCGCTATGGTGAGCACTGTGAATTGTGTAAGACTGATGAATCACAGACCCATATCCCTGAAACAAATAATACATTATATGTTAAAAAAAAAAAAAGAAATGGGCAGAAGACACGAACAGATATTTCTCCAAAGAAGACATACAAATGGCCAACAGACACATGAAAAAATGCTCAACATCACATGGCATCAGGGAAATACAGATCAAAACCACAATGAGATACCATCTCACACCTGTCAGGATGGCTAAAATTAACACCACCAGAAACAACAGGTGTTGGAGAGGATGTGGAGAAAGGGGAACCCTTTCACCTCCAACCCATGGAGGTTCCTCAAAAAGTTGAAAATAGAGCTATGCTGTGACCCAGCAACTGCACTACTAGGCATCTACCCCAAAGATCCAAAGGGGTACCTCCACCCCAATGTTTATAGCAACAATGTCCACAATAGCCAAACTATGGAAAGAGCCCAGATGTCCATAAACAGATGAATAGATGTGGTATATATATACAATGGGATATATATACCACAAAGAAGATGGTGTGTATGTATGTGTGTGTACACACACATACACACACACACACACTGGAATATTACTCAGCCATCAAAAAATGAAATCTTGCCATTTGCAATGACGTGGATAGAACTAGAGGGTATTGTGCTAAGCAAAATAAGTCACTCAGAGAAGGACAATTATCATATGATCTCACTCATATGTGGAATAAGAAACAAAACAGAGGATCATAGGGGAAGGGAGGGAAAATAAAGCAAGATGAAATCAGAGAGGGAGACAAACCATAAGAGACTCTTAATCATAGGAAACAAACTGAGGGTTGCTGGAGGGGAGGGGGTAAGGAAATGGGATAACTGGGTGATGGACATTAAGGAAGGCATGTGATATAATGAGCACTGGGTATTATATAAGACTGATGAATCACTGAACTCTACCTCTGAAACTAATAGTGCACTATATGTTAATTGAATTTAAATTTAAAAAAAGAAAGGAATCTTGGAAGGGAGATGGGGTGGGAGAAGAGCCCTGGCATCTATTGGAAATGATCCGTTGGAAAACTCTGAATCACAGCATGGAAGAATCAGGATTGGGGACACTATCTGGGTGTCATCTATTTTGAGGTTATAACAAAAGACATGAGAATGGCCAGATTGGGAAAACAGAACAAAAAGAAGAGAAAGCCCAGCAAAGGAGTCTAAGAAACTATCATCTGAAAAGTAGAATGAAAAATCAGGAGGGATGTTTGTATCAAAAGCCACAACAGGAGGAAAGGGATTTTCAAAAGGTTCAGATGCTTCTGAGAGATGAAAAAGGATACGGACTAAGAAGGAGTCACTGGCTTGGGCAGTCAGGAAGCCAGAGGTGACAGTGGGAGAGCAGTGTGTGTGTGGAAAGTCAGCCTCAAAGTGATTACAGGGAGTTGAGAATGAATGAAAAGTGGAGGGAAAGCATTCATGAGTGTAGACCACTCCTTTCAGATCTTTGGATATGAAAGATGAAGGTGGGTTGGAGGAATGGGAAGGTAGTTTATGGGAAGCAGGGTCAAGCTGAAGAGTCTTTAGGTCAGATAAGACTTGAAATGTTTCTGGAATGAAGAGAATTTTGGCATCAGGAAAGTGAGGCCAAAGAAACAGTCAAAAGGAAAGATAAGTATTAAGTCTCAGATTAGACCATGAGCACTGGTGGCCAGTTTAGCCTTGGAAAGAAGGAGAAATTAAGCAGGGCAGGAGGATGGAATGGGTAGAGAAAAGAAGAAATTCTGAGTTGAAGGAGAGACAAGTTAAGTGAGTATGCATCAGGGAGTCTCATTTTCCCACCTCAGGATCATTGGTTGAGACTGATGGGGTGGGGGTGAGGGACTTCAGAAAAACAGAAATAGTTTGTAAAGATGCTGCGGAAAATGGCAAAAATTAAGACATGGTTCCCACCCAGAAGTCTGCATCAAAATTCCTTGAAGCACATTTTCCTGACCACGTACAGAAATAAATTCCTATGGGGTGAGGTAGGGTTGGGAATGGGTTTAGAACCATTGTACTGAGTTTACTAGGAATAGACAAAAGACTCATGACCAATAGTGTGTATTTCCTCAGTGCTTTTTAACCACCTGAGTTCCATGATACACAGTGGTTGTATGTTTAGTCAGCGTTGAGGATTGTCAAAGCAGATATGGCAAA